CAGGGAAGGACAGGAGGGATAAAAGACCAGTGGGAGAGAAAACCAGGGAAAGACAGGGAGGCATAGCTAATGACAAATGATGGATAAATGCCAAATTCATGACCACGCATGCTGAGAGCTTAAGGTCAATGACGTTTGGAGTGTGTGTGTGTGTGTGTGTGTGTGTGTGTGTGGGTGGGTGGGTGCCCTGCATGCACACATACACATGTCTCTGTTCAGTAATGTCATTAATAACCCTGGGTATAAAGTCCTTCAGAGGAATTGTCCAGATGCTGCTTGTTCGCTCTATATGCCTGAATGCCTGGAAGTGTCTGTGTGTGTGTGTGTGTGTGTGTGTGTGTGTGTGTGTGTGCGCGCTGCAGGGATGTCACAACCCATCAGCTTGTGTCCCTGGTGGTGGCATAAAAAACAAATCGAGCGGAGTGTTGAGTCTCCGGAGTCTCTCGAGTCTCTCGAGTCTCGTGAGTGAGTGAGTGAGTGAGTGGTCGCCGTCTGAAAGGGTGTCCTGTAACTCTCGGAGGACTTTGTCTGTCTGACAGAAGGACACTGTAAGTAGAAGAAGTAGAAGAAGAAGAATGAAAGGGAGATGACAGAGATAGGAGGATATATATGACAGTATATTAAGAAAGAATGAAAACTCAATCAAATGATCGCTGATCTTTTACCCAGCAGACCGCTGTTTGTTCCCTCCCGTGTGAAACTAGAAGTCAACTTTGATTTATATGTCACGTAACTTGCGTACTTCAGTAACGCCATTTTCGTAGTTATTTTTACCCAAACCACGATATTTCAGATTGAGACCATAAACTCATGTTTACTGAGGTAATAAATCGAGAGAGAAGTAGAGTCATTTTCTCATAGACTTCTATACAACCAGAGGAGTCGCCCCCTGGTGGACACTAGAGAGAATGCAGCTTTAACACGAAGCATCAGCTTCACTCAGCCGTACCGGAGGTTGCTGCCTTGTCTGGACCCAGCAGGTGAAATGCTGCCCCCTATTTATTTAAAGCATGCGGCTACATCTTACACATTGCACCTTTAATAAATGCTCAACCCACAGTTGTTGATCATTACAGCTGAAAAGAAGACAATATATCAGGAATCTTTTAAAACATGTAAAGATATCACTTTGATGAAGTTTTAAGAGGTAAATAAGGGGGGAAGTGCTGTGACTGACTCAGGAAACAGGAAAGTTTGGTTCAGTTATAAGATCAACATCAAGAACAGTTAAGGTTTGTGAAGGTTTGAGTTGGATGGTTCTGTGTGTTTAGAGTCAGAATCGACAGCGTTCTTCCATAAAAACGAGACTACAAGAATAAAAGACTTCCTGAGATAGGATGTCAGTGTTGTGCAGCGTATGAAATTAGGTCATAACTGTTACAGCCACCAAACAAACGCAGGCAGACTCAATCTGACAAATAAAATGCATCAGTGCTTCACCCTGAGCTGCACGTCTGTCTCTCTTTCTGAGTCATCTGTGATTAACAGCGACGAGTGCTGCTGAGGTAGAAATCCTCCAGCTGTGTGTGTGTGTGTGTGTGTGTGTGTGTGTGTGTGAGGCCAGGTACAGATGGAAAGATCAGTGGTGGGAGAAGTACTCAGACCATTTACTTTAATGCAAGTAAAAGTGCTGCATTCAAAATATTTACTTGAGTAAAAGTATGTTTCAGTATTCAGTATTGTGTTTACAGGTTGCTCTGTTGCCCCCAAGTGGACAAACACAAAGCCTATAAAGACCTTTTAAAAATGCAGCATGGAGATCAATTTAAAAGATACAAATCAAATGTGGGAAACAGACATTTCCTTTAGATTCAATATCTCATTTACCGTCTCTGTCCTCTCCACACCTCACCATCGTTCCCAGTATAAACCCTGTGGAACCAACAAAACACAGTCAAACTCAACACGGCGACAACTTTTCAATACACAGCAGAATTTACAACCACCACTGGCTGCAAAGGGTAATGAGAATTGTTGTGAAAATGCTGCAGAGCTATAAATAACAGTAGTTAAAGCACGTCTTGTTCTGGTGGCGGTAGCGTGCAGCGGCCTCCCTCAGCGCCGTCAGATGAACCGGCAGCGTCTGAGGGAACCGAGATGGCCGGGAGCAACGAGAGCAGGAGGCCTTCAAACAGCAGCTGAGTCAGGTGGTGAAACGTTTAGTGTGTGTGTGTGTGTGTGTGTGTGAGAGTGAGTGTGATGAAGCATTATTTACTTTTGTAAAGATTTAAACTGCACCTGGCACTTTGTCCTCCAAATATTTTACATTAGTTTAAGAGATGATGAGTTTTAAATTCATTCATTAAAAATGTAATATTACAAATATATTTTAAATTTGTAACATAAATAATCAATTTCAGGGGCTTAATCACTAGATATCTATTTGATATGTCCACCATTTAAACTTCTTTCACTATTTAAACATTTCATTTGTATTTAATGTTTCTATTGTTATTTTGGTGAATTAACCCTTTAAACATAGTATTATGAAATATTTTCTTTAGTTTGTTCCACATTCACTTACAGTATCGATAAACTAACGAATCTCCCGAATCAAATATCTCATTCAAAGCCTTTTAATAAATCGATTTCTGCATATTTCTTTCGTGGGATTTGTGATTTAAATAAAACATATTATACAAGCCAACGTTTATTGAGAAGATGAAGATGCATACGCTTACTGGCAGGTGCGGGTTTCAGGGTAAACGGTTCAGGTAGAGATCAGTCGCAGGTGGAGACGGGCTGCTTGACATCCTGTGAGGGCTGATTGGCTGATGAGGAGCAGGTGAGCAGGTGGACGTTGGCGTCAGGTGACTGGTGGGAAAGTGCGAGGACCTCTGGTGGACAGATGGAGAACGACAAGTCTGGAGAATGACGATGCCTTGTGTTCGTCCTGCAGAGCTCACTGAATATCCTCCATCACTGCAGCTCACACACATTTCCTTCAACTAGAAACCAAAGTATGGAACAGATGATATTAAACAGACGTGAGAATAAACCAGTCCGCACTTTGACTGAACTACTGACCCTCTGCAGCATCGATCCTGCAGAGAGAATGTAAATGTGATGAACATAAGGAGTCGTTCTTGGCTGTTTGCTTCCCTCTCTTCTCGCTAAATGAGGTTATCCTCGTTAAACGCTGAGCTCGTGTCAGCTTCATTGTACCGAGTCTCACGAGACAAACAGGATTAGGATAAACTAACACTGATCTCTGATCAGTGCTTAAAGGTCTCCAGGTTTAATGTAATTATGACAAAAGACGCTCGAACATAATCACGTTTCTCTACAAAGAAGAAAAGAGGCTTTCAATGTGAATTGTAAGTTGTATTTAGCACCAATAAGAGGCTTTGTTTAAGTGCGTTAAAGGGTAAATTCACTCAAATGATGACAATGCATTATTCAGCCATGTTCAGTGATTATATTTCAGTTATTTGTCTGAACTTTGAACTCTTCTTATTCCCACATTTTCCAGTCTTTGTACATAATTTAATGTTTCTATACTGTCTTCATCTATTTTCATCTCTTCCTCTTTTGGATAACAAAAAATAATAATAAACTTTATTTTTAAAGCACCTTTCATACAAGAAATGTAGCCCGAAGTGTTTTACACATAAAAACAGGAACAATAAAATGCAAATAAAACAAACTATAAAATTTAAATGAAATGGGATTAATAAAATGCATGAAATAAAATGGAAAATAAAACCCACTGATTATTATATGAAAATCAGCACTCATATTTGCAGTATGCACTTATACATTATTAAACACTGCAGCTTAGTGGTGGAGATTTGTATTTGGTCTCAGTGCGCTCTCTACCAATCAGTGACGACGTCTTTGAGAATATAAATACACACGACAGAAGCTACTTTTCCCGACGGACACAAACTCACCACCGGGCTCGACTACAAATGATCACTTCCACTCCTTTTATTGCTTTAATTTCATTTTAACCACCACTTCAACTTCTTTCAGTATTTAAACTTCAACTGTACATTCATTAAAAGACAACGCACAGATGTTTTTCTAATTTCTATTTACAAATCTTGGTGAATTGACTGGACATAATATTATAACATAGTACACATATATATATATATATATGTATATAGTATATTATATGTACAGTATTTAGTTTTTTACGTTACTGTAATTATTTCCTTCAATATGCTGCCTGGACAGTTTTTAGGCAACTCCCTCTCACATTCCATCATAAGCTATAAACAATATATAATTATAATAGAATACAAATCATATTTTTGCATCTTTAAACTGTTTTTAATATGTGTAAATAAAGGAACAAATATTCCCTTACAAACAAAACAAATATCTCCAACATGTAAATCTTAACTTCTGTTCTTCCCCTGAAGCACGAACGTCGTCTCAGCCGGTTTAAACGAAGGCGAACAAAGAGAAATTCAAAGAGATGCGTAACTCTCACAGAAGCAGAAGGACACGGTCGTGATGAGGCGTGAGCCGGTCGTTTATTGTTACGGAGGAAGTTAACATGGTTAACTGCACTGAAAGTCACACAGTAAAGCTCCCCGTGTCACACAGAGAGGAAGCTGCAGGAATATACATACAGTATATCTTATTGGCAAGTAGATATGTTTTAGTACGTACAATCTCCTCTACCAGGTACTCATGTACAATATACACGTTAAAAAATATAGTTTGTTTGCATTGCGATCACCGGTTTTCTTTTTTGTTCAGAATTCACATTGAAGTGTTACAGGTTCTTGAATGGCGATGGAACTAAAGAGCACTGTTGTTTATTTTTATGTTTAATAGCTATCACATACACAGAGGCATCTGCATAGAAGGCACGTCTATGCATCTACATCGCTGACATGATCGATGGATGAGCAGTTTTTATCATCTGGGGAGTAAAAAACAAGGAAGGCAGCATTCATTCATTCATTCATTCATTCATTCATACACACACACACACACACACACACACACACACACACACACACACACA